AAACGTAACAGCATATTCTGGGGCAGAGAAGTATAACCTCATCTCTGAAGAAGCTTTGCCTACTATCCTGGAATAACAAGAATTTGCTTCAGCATGTTTTAAACTTAACGTCGTAATAATCTCAAACCAAATGTAAGGCACATTATATTATATCATTCATACCAACCTTGATACCAACAGTTGAGAAGCATCCCTCGCATCAAGCTTCTGAGCAACTTCATCCATGTAATACTGATTACCAGAAAATTCAAGACTGAAGGTCTCAATATTTCCCTCAATGGAGTGAGGAATCCGTACGGCTTCTATATGTACAGTGTCCATTGAATCTAAATCACAGTTCATCAGCAGCTCTAAAGCCTCAGGTGAATAAGGACCTTGCTTCCATATCCAAAATCCACCAGCAGTAGTAGTACAAACAGAATCAGACATTCTTGCAGCCTTCCAGATAAATGAAAAAACCAAGAGAGGATCCGATTCTGCCTTTGGGTCAATGATTTTGCATAAATTATTAACTTTCACATCATAGGCAGCAATAGCTGACAAGGGAATCATACTATAAAGGTTGCCAACTCTTCGGAATGCCACTCTGAAGTGACCAAGCAGGGGGTGAGAGGATGAGAGGAACTACAGTCAGCAGAAAGAAGTATAAATATGTTAGGGAATGAAATCCAACTAAAAAGATAACATAAAACAAAATCTTCATAATTAGGCTTATTTCAGAATTATTAGGCAGGTTGGACATGCCTTGCATGTGTATTACAATTTTTATGGGTGGAGAAGTCTTTGTTTTAGCTTATTCAAGAAGAACAAGAAAGAGTAACAATCGGAAAACTCAATTACTTAATAAAATAAATACACCTGGCTTTCAGAAGAAAAGGGAGGACTCTTTTTCCTTCTTTTCTTTTCTTTTCTTTTCTTTTCTTTTGTTTTTAACAAAGTAACTATCAATTCATAATGAAAGACACCTTCATAAATAAGGTTATTTTAATATTCCCAGGCAGGTTGAACGTGGCTTGCATGTGTACTACAATATGTGGGTAGAGACACCAGTTTTACAAGAAAAAGGTGTATATCACAATTGTGAAGTTATACAGACATTGACCTTGATAGAGCTCAATGGAGAAAAAGGAGCCAGGCGGCGGACACCAAAGACTAGGAGTAAAGGTGTTGATTTTCGTCTCTCTTTTATTTGTCATTGTCATTATTGTTGTCAAAAATCACAAGATTCCAAGATAAGTCAATGTGTTATTGTGTTTACTACCCACATTGATATGCACAAAAGCAGAAGCAAGGCATAATTATATCCAGAGATGACTTAGATTTGTTAACTCAGGCGGCGAGGTCTACTGGTGGAGCCTAGAGAGTGTCTCAGACTCTATTAGAGAACCCAACACTACTTGGCAACACATTCAAAAACTCAAAATAAGATCTTTTCACCTAGTCAATCAGAAATATTTGTGAACAGATGCAATGCTAGGCATGTTAATCAACAAGTCTGGAGATGATTAACCCCCCAAAAGAAATACGGCCACTTCTCTACTCTTTTCTCTTTTCTCTTTTTTTTTAATGCCAGTTATCTACTTTGTTAGCATCTATGTAAGGATAATGCAACTTGTTCTATTAATCGAGTCTTTCTTCATGGTATTTGCCGGTTCCTCGGATATAATTTATGCTCATGCTAAACAAACAAAAAGGTAAAATAGAAGGTAGTTATTCATTTAAGATCAATATGTCCCCATAAACTCCAGAATTTCCAAATTTAAGTGACAAATAGTATCATACCAACCTCATCAGAGAACAAGATGGAAAAGCGGGCAACTAACTCATTCCATGCTTCCTGTGGAGTTAAATGAGTTGGTTTAGACTGAATACCCAGCTGCAAAAGGGGTGACACAAAATGTAAGCTTCTACCACATAAATGGTAATAAGTAGTAAAAAACTAACACAGAAAACACCACCAGATAACTGTAGAGGACAAAGAGAGTGAAGCAAGGGGGTGTTGTATACCCGAAGACACAACAGAAGATAAATGTGCATAGATATCTTTTATATGAAGTGCCAATTTGAAATGGAATGGTAAATCCTAATTTTAGGAGTTGAATCCTTAATGGAGTGTCTAGAAAGTTATCTTAAGTGTCCACAGCATCTAAAGTTTGACATGGCAGAAATACCTAAATAGAATTCAAGGAACCATTAAAAGCAAAGCAACAACAATCAAGAGTCAGCATGTGTCAAACTGTGTAGTTTCATAGTGAATCTTAATATCTCAGTGTTGGTGTGAGAGACAAACTTTAAGGGTGCATCTAATAAAGATCTTGCTTGCATACACTATTCATATGTATAAAAAAAAATGGTGCATCCATAGTGAATCTTCATATCTCAAATCTCATGTGCCACACTTCAATTAGCCAGGCACCTGAGCAATTGTTCTCCACCTTAATAATCTCATTATCAGTATTTAGTTTTCCTTCTCTCTGACAAGTCTAGTTAAAGGCCCTGACATTTTATATTGATGTAAACTTCATTGACAACATCAAGAGGCCATTTTATTCATCGTTTTTTTTACAAAAAGACCACCTGCTTACAGGTAACGGTTAAAGTTAGCTATAATATAGTTATTAGAAATATCAGCAGAGGCACAACCAAAAAAATTAAAAGCACAATAGAAGTTAAACAGTGGCATTGCATGTACGAGAATTAAACCTTTTCTACAGCCATCTTTGCAGCAGACTGCTCTGCATCCTTCTTTTTTGTAAAGGTATCTGAAGTAACAGATAGCTCAGGGAGAGACAAGCAGCACCTGTACAGGCTCCGAGACTGCTGTGGAATAATCAAACCAGGGCATCCGTTATCAACAGACTGCTTCACTTCTTCAATGGTATAGCGAGCTTTTGGACCATATTTTTGATGTATCAGGGCCTTTGGGGTAATCGTCAACTTTCTCTCTGCAGCAGTTACCGGTTCTTGAACCTCCATCAAATTCTTTTACTTACTTCTTGAAAATTTCCTGCAGTTTTTATAAGCAATAATATACAGAACAATTAATCAGCATCATGTTAGCATTTCATGCTTGGGGAAAATATAAAAGAAAAGGAAATTACAGCCGGAATTATAGTTTCTGTGAAGTTGTTAAAGTCAGAAAGTTTGGTCACCAAATATGAAACAAAGGATTCAGAACAGTGAAAGAAAAACAAAAAATAAAATAAAATAAAATAAAATAAAATAAAATAATATTCTTTGCAAATGAAACTCAAATTGAAAATGGGTAGTGAAATTATTGTAAAACAATTAAAAAATGAACAACTGCCCCCGTAAACTCTAAGCTAACAAGAAAGGTAAATAAACATCCCATCACACCAAAATTTCTAAAATTTATAAAAGTTAGAATTCCACGAAAAGAAACATAATAAATTAAAACTGCGGATATTGAATAAGAAAAATATTGGTGTATTAATCTGGAATGAGTTAGCTAATAAGCAACCATAACGAATTCCAGATTAATACACCAATATTTTTCGCAAACCCTAGGCTCCTAAGGAGCAAAAAAAGGGGGTTATTTTCCCTTTAATACCCCAAAGTTTCAACCTTTTCCACCTTTGATACCCTAAAGTTCTATATTGAAATTTGATATTTCAAAGTTCTCAATAATTTTACAGCCCATACTTTATCCCGCACTTCCCCAAACTAAAAAAACAAAAAAAAAAACAGAAATTTGATAATAAACTTGTTTCTTATTCACATTTCTATTTTAAAATTCTCTCAACAAATTTAATGCCAACTTCTCTCTATTTGGGTATAGAATTATCAAAATAGACTTCATGGTATCACATTTAAATAAAGTTGAAACTCTAGGGTATCCAAGTGCGAATTACCCAGAAAAGAAAAGAAAAACAATTTGATACACAAAAAGTCGAGAAACCCTAAGAGCCCTTGAGACAACATTTTAAATACTCTAATGGCAAAGAATTCGACAGTTCAAATTCAAACCTTCGCTTTGTCGATCGGTGACCAAAACGGAGAGAATTCACCGAAAATTGTAGAACGAACTTTAGGGTTTTGAGAGGTTTTAGAGAGAGAGAGAGAGAGAGAGGAGGGAAAGTTGAAATTAACGCGTTAGGGAGAAAAAAAATGGAAGCCGATCTGTTATCGTGCGCGGCCACTGCTAACCTGCGCGGACACGATCCGCTCGTGCAAGTTTTTATCGCCCCCTTCAATAGCACAAGACATAAATTCTGAGGAGATAAAATAGGAAACAAATTGCTCCTTGATTGAGCGAAGGACAAGTTTTGAAAATTGCACTCGAAATTTCAAAATTTGCAACCTAATTGTGAGGAAATGACAAATTAGCTATTTGCAGCTGACGTGGCAATGCCTACGCATCAATTTACTCTGCGAATCACACACATAAGGTAATTGTTGTCAAAGTTTGCATCAGTTATAAATCTCCGACATTTGAGTGATACTATTTGAAAGAAGAGTCCCCTGTCGTTATGCATCAAAGAGAGATTAATTTAAGAAAACCCTCTGAACTATGCGGTGTTGCATATGACGCCTTTGAACTTTTTCGTTCACCTGAATCTCGCCTAGATTTTCTTATTTAATCTCAAGTAAATACCACCAGCTCTTATTTGCCACGTGACAAGCATGTGACGAACGAAAGATGGTAATTTATCTTGTCAACTAAAAACTGTTTATTGGAAGGGCAAAAGGCTATATTTTTTAGATCGATGGGTTGTTTTCATTTGTCTTTTGTTATGTAATTGTCACATTAAATGTTAGAGTCGTACATTAAATGAGTTGTGGATGCTAATTTGGAAATTAAACGAGTAAATTTCAGAGAGAACTTAGCGGAGCAAAAGAGTTTAGGGCGTCATGTGCAATAATACCAAAAGTCAGCTATTTAGTCCCTTAATGTCTATTAGCTATTTCAAATTAGCCCCTTCGATTTAGTATTTCCGTTCAGTGATCTAACTCTTATTTAGTTAGTGATCAATCCAATATGGCTAATTATGTTTTCTTTTACTCTCACTTAAGAGTTAACCTTTCATATGGATTTATAAAAAGTTCTATAAAGAATTTTATAGATTTAAGATGAGGTAGAGCTATTATAAAATGGGTTACATGACGAAATAACACTAGGCAGAAAGAACAGAATAATTTTGGATTTTAAACGGTACCAGACTACAGAGTTCCATATAACTGAGTGTATTTGAATAGTGGTACCTGGAATCCGATGTTGTTTTAGCGGGGTCCTAATTTCAACAAAACCAAAAAAACAAAATAAGCTAAAAAAGAAGGAAGTTGTTGCTGCTATTAAGAAGGTTTTAACAACCGGAGTTGAAACTGACGTTACAAACATAATTGAGGGACTAAATAGCAATTTTAGTGAATGCGGGACTAATGTCAAATCATGAGAGATGTAAGGCACCAAAACAAAAAAGCCCCCAAAATAAACCATGTCTGTAAATTCCAAATGCGCTTGGGTCGTTTTGAGAAAGTGTCGGCCGTCGCTCATCAGTGACGCTACCTCGCCCAGTGTTTTGTTTGCTTGTGCGCAGAGAGAGAGAGAGAGATGGCGATGAGAAGCTGCTCTAATGGAGCTCAAAGATTTCTACGTCTACTTCGATCTCCTGCTTCTCTAATTCGAAGCTTCTCATCTTCGATCTCCATTCCATCTCAGTTGGAGGCAAGTTAGATCTTCTTCTTCCTTTAATTTGTTGTCCTGTTCTTGATCGTGCCTTTCCTTTTCTAGTCATTAACACTACCTGAATTGGGTAACTTCAGTCTTTAATATCCCTTGCAGTGAAGTGATTTGGAAATTAATCGATCTGATCGAATCCCAGAAGCCCATACTGTTGAAATTTGAAACTGTAAAGTTTGGAGATTTCTCTTGTAGTGATTAGTTTGAGGCTGTGGAATGGTTGAGATTGTATTCTTATTGGTCTAAAATTGGTTTTAGTATGTATTAGTTTCCTTATAATTCAGCATAACTTGCATATAAATGACAATTGGCGTTCTACAATTTTTAGGGGATTTTATATTTTTCATAATCAGGACACATAAACTTCAGGGCTACCGGGTTTCCTTGGGCTAGTAGTTTATTAGGGGTTGTTTGGTTCGCTATTATAAGGGGTGGAAAACTCAGAAAACCCCTCCACGTCAGATTTTTAGCCCTCCACGTAAGCTTTTTTGTTTCCGTCCATTTCTTTGTGCCGCTTTGGTTCGCTCGAATGGAAGAGGGAAAACTCTGCTGAAATCGCCGCCAACTAAGATTTTTTTCCCTCTCTGATTTCTTTCCCCAACCAAGTAAAATTGATGAAAACTCTGTCACGTCAGATTTTTTTTCCTTCTCTGCTTTGTTTACAAAAGTTTTCCTTTTTTTTCTATGCGAACCAAACACAAGAAAAATAAATACATTGGTTTCCCACCATTTTTTATGTGCGAACCAAAGCAAAACAATCTATTTCTTGGAAAAGTTTGGAAAACTCAAAACTTGTGTTTCTTTACATGGAATTGCATTTCTCTATATCAAGGAAACGAACCAAACAGCCCCTTAAGGACCTATTGGTTTTTAGAGAACAGATTTTGACTCACTTTCCTTTCTCATGGGCCTGGAGGGTGATGACATAAGCGAGTTAAATCTTTTCTCCAACATTAGTTTTTAGGCATTTGTATATTAGACCCTGAATTCTTCGTTAAATATATACACCCTCAAATCTTCATACTTCTAATTTACACCCTCAAATCTTTTCAATTTTTTAAAAACACCCCCGGGTTGGATTCCTTCCATAATTGTCACATAGTATGATTAAAGTCTTGGAATTAATATAGTTTGAAGTCTCATTTAGAGAGATGAAGATTTGGGATTCTTACAAAGCATTGAGAAAGAATTTAGGGTCTAATATGACAAAACTATATTTGTTTACAGGTGTTATTTAAAGCAACTTAATAGGTTTGGAAGGGTAAATCAAGAATATGATATACAATCAAGATAGAATTTAGAGTCTAATTTGACAAAGTTTCTAGTTTTTAATAACCAAATGCTTCATAGAACCTAAATTACTAAAAAAGAAGCAGCCATTTCTTTTAAATTTCATAATTTTCTGGTTAATAAATGTAAAATATGTGTAGAAATCCACCTATTTCAACAAGGACACAGTTAGTTTGAGAGACCCACTCTGTCCTCTCTTTCCTTCTCTCCATGATCCTGAATTGACGATTTTGCAGAGGGTTGGATTCATAGGCTTGGGAAATATGGGTTTCCATATGGCAACTAATCTCGTCAACAGTGGATACAAAGTCACTGTCCATGACATGTAAATTTCTAATACTCCCTTTGCGGTGGTTATTCGCATTACTTTTTTTTTTGCTGAACTATTGGTGCTTTTTTCCGTGTAACTTACTTGCCTATTGAGACACTTTTTATAAAGATGTGAAAGGGAATGTATGGTGTGTAGAATTGACTACACAGCGGCGAAGTTCGGATTTTTTGAAGCAGGGAACATTTTGGATGCTGCACGGTCGACCACGAGTGGCGCTGCTGTCGTTCGCGAACGTGCACGAACATAGGAAAGTCTCTGGACTTTTTGCGGTCGACTGCGAGTGGCGTGACGATCGACCGCGAGACCCTGAAGTACATTTTTTATTTCTATCGTTTGTCACGGTCGACCGCTACTGGCGCGACGATCGACCGTGATGCGGTTTTGGGCATGCTTCGGTTTCTTGCACTGTTTGGGTTTCCTGTTTTATATAAATAGGAACACGATTTGTTTAGGGTTAATTGGATCATATTGATCACTTTTAGGGTAGCTTGAAAGAGAGTTTTGAGCACAGAAAAGAGAGTTCTTTTCTGAGCAAATTGTTTGTGGGTTTTGTGAGAGATTTGAGGGTTTTGTTTGAGAGGTTAGTTTGAGTGATCTTGTAATCATTGTTTGTGGGTTTTGTGAGAGATTTGAGGGTTTTGTTTGAGAGGTTAGTTTGAGTGATCTTGTAATCGTTATTTTGTACTCTCTTTCTCTATAGTAAAACCCCCCCTTCTTGTCCTGTGGACGTAGGTAATTTGCCGAACCACATTAAACTTTGTGTTTGAGTTTGTGTCATTATTGTTTGATTTGAGTTGCTTTCTCTCTCGGTGTTTGGTTTGGTTCCTCAGCGCACAAGTGGCTTCCGCGCACAACAAGTGGTATCAGAGCTCGGGCTAGGCTTGGGCTATTTGGAGGAGTAGATCACTTTGGAAGTTCGACTAGGGTCTCGTTTGGAGTTAAAGGTAGGATCTTTTTGGTAAAGATTCTATCTTTTCTCAGTTTTGGATCTATTCTTCAGTTTGTTCCGCATTGGTTGTTGGTGTATTGAGGAAGATGACTGGGAAAGAAGATACTTCGGGTGTTGAGGGTGGTGTTTCTGGTGTGAAGACCATTCAAAATTTAAATATCCACTCTACGAAGATAGATGTGGAGAAGTTTAATAGCACGAATAAGTTTGGATTATGAAGATGTGAGGTTTTGGATGCGCTGAACGCGTAAAATTTGGAAGATACTTTAAAATTGGATGACAAGTCAGATGATATTGATGAGAAGGTTTGAAAGAAGATGAACAGAACGGCGTGTGGTGTGATTAGGTCTTGTTTGACTTAAGATTTAAAGTATGATGTGATGCATGAGACTTCGGCTAAGAAGATTTGGGAGACCCTTGAGAGCAAGTATATGATCAATAGTGTGGAAAATCGCTTGTATTTGAAGATGAGGCTTTATCGCTTCCAATTGAAGAAGAGAACCTCCATTTGTGATCACATGAACCACTACACGAAGTTTATTGTGAATTTGGCAAATGTAGATGTTATGATAGAGAATGAGGACAAAGCTTTGTTATTGTTGAGTTCCTTGTCAGATGAGGAATATGAGACCTTTGTTCTTACCCTAACTAATGAGAATGCGTCCCTTTCGTATAATGAGGTTACCGTTGTACTTATGAATTATCAGCTTCGAAAGAAAGATAAGTAGTCTACAAGTGACACAACAACAGAGGTATTGATCGCAAGAGGAAAGAATCCAAACCGAAAGAATGAGAAGTCACAGTCTAGAGTAGGGTATCCTATAGTTGGTAAAGATTAGTGTGCTTGGTATAAAGAGACTGGTCATTAGAAGAAAGATTGTCCAAAGCTCAGTGATTGGATGAAGAATAAGCAGAAAGGAAAAATGAAGCAATCATCATCAAAAGCGAACATCATTATATCGGATGATAATCTTTCTGACTCATCTGTTTATTCGCTTTCTATCAGTCCCACAGGTTGCTATTTGAAGGAATCCGAGTGGATGTTGGATAGTGGTCGACCTATCATGTGTGTCTTAGAAGGGAATGGTTCGTCAGTTTTGAGAAGCTGGAGAGTAGTGTGATGTACATGGGTGACAACCATGCATGTCAGATCCTTAGGATAGGAAGAATTCACATCAAGATGTATGGCGGGACAGTTAGAGAGTTACGTGATGTAAGATATGTTCCTTCTTTGAGGAAGAACTTAATCTCGATTGGATGTTGGAGCTTTGGTTGGAGAGGGTTTTAGAGTTCGTATCGAGGACATGATTCTCGAGATTGTAGAAGACTCTTAGGAAGAATAACCTATACTATTTAATTGAGAATACGGTGACAGGTGGAGAGCTGATGATTTCTATTGATTCGACTAGACTGCGACATTTGAGGTTTGGTCATTCTAGTATTGATTTGGAAAATGGTGCATCGAGCTGCAATTTGAAATCCAGTGAACATTTTGATGTGAGCAAGAAGACCGAAGTGAAGTTTGACATCTCTATTCGCAGCACGAAGGGTCTTTTCGATGGAGTTCACGTGGGTATTTGGGGGCCTTCCAAGGAGGCATCATTGGGAGATAATAGATGTTTAGTTTTTTTTGTTGGTGGTTGTTCTAGGCATGCTTGGGTTACAACCAAATCCCGATTGGATAAAGTCCTAGTAGTCTCTAACAGATTGAAAAAGTGTAAGATTGACAGAAAGGTAAATGTACTTCATTCTGATTTTGGTGGGAGGTACAAGAAGGACATGTTTCTGCATTTGAGCCGAACTCACAACATTTTGAGACACTTCGGTGAAAAGAAAATCTTGGGACAACGAGATGAGATGACAGATTTGGTGAGCTGTTTCTTGCTAGAGGAGGACCGACGTTTGATGTCGAGCATTGATTCTGGTGTTGAGACTTCGACATATTTGGATCATCTTGGTTATAGGTTGTCGACTGCTGCGATTGGAGGTAAAACTCCATTGGATGTTTGGTCTGGTAGTGTCACTTTGGTTGAGGCTTCGATAAGGGAGCTAACTGACTCTCAGCAGGTGGAGAGTTTTGAACAGACCTTAGATGTATCACAGTGGGTGGAGAGTGATGCTACTTCATATTGGGTGGAGATTACTCTACATACTCCAGATCATACTGTATCGTTTGAGATTCCAGCTAAGGTGACATAGTTAGGGGATTATTTGGATTTGGGTGCAGATGATGAGTTGGTTGATTCAAATGCAGCTGGTGGATATGATTTAGATACGACCATTGGTTCACCTCAGGTGGACGTGTTTGATTTGTTTCACTTTGGGGCCATGTGGAGTGCTATCAACCGCATATTTGTTGGTGAAGAGTTGAGAACTTTTCTATTTGATTAAGGGTCTTTGGAGGTCATTTGGGGAACTACGTGAAGCCTTGATTCTTTTGGCAAGAGGATACGTAGGCAGACATTTATGATGCAGCCGATTTGATGGGTAGATACCGACGTTTGGAGAGTGTTCGCATTCTTATTTGGGTCTCGACTTGTTGCGGATTGAGTCCGTTGTGATTTCGTTTCACTTCGTACTGGACGCAACAAGTGGGACATTTGGTTTGGTTGGTGTCGGCTCAGTTTTGGGAAGACTTCGCCGAGGTGGAGAATTGTAGAATTGGCGACACAACGACGAAGTTCGGATTTTTTGAAGCAAGGAACATTTTGGATGCTGCACGGTCGACTGCAAGTAGCGCTACGGTCGACCGCGAACGTGCATTTTTTTGTTTCTGTCGTTTGTCACGGTCGACCGCGACTGGCGCGACGGTCGACCGCGATGCGGTTTTGGGCCTGTTTTGGTTTTTTGCACTGTTTAGGTTTCCTGTTTTATATAAATAGGAACACGATTTGTTTAGGGTTAATTGGATCATATTGATCACTTTTGGGGTAGCTTGAAGGAGAGTTTTGAGCACAGAAAAGAGAGTTCTTTTCTGAGCAAATTGTTTGTGGGTTTTGTGAGAGATTTGAGGGTTTTGTTTGAGAGGTTAGTTTGAGTGATCTTGTAATCTCTATTTTGTACTTTTTTTCTCTATAGTGAAAACCCCTCCCCTTCTTGCCCCGTGGACGTAGACAATTTGCCGAACTACGTTAAACTTTGTGTTTGAATTTGTGTCATTATTGTTTGATTTGAGTTGCCTTCTCTCTCGGTGTTTAGTTTGGTTCCTCGGTGCACAACAAGTGGCTTCCGCGCACAACATAGTATGCATATGAATTCTCATAAGTTAGGATGAAAAATAGACAAAAGGAAGCAAAAAAGAGTGATTTACTTTCTCTCTCTAAATTACATAATTTATCTTTCGTATCAACTGCATATATAGTCATAGAAGTATGCTCAGGAAATTGTGCATAACTTTTAAATTATGATGTTTTGAGACTAATGAATCAAAAGTTAAACTCTTGGATGGTTTGTAGTAACTATGCTACCTTGAAGAGGTTTTCGGAGAAAGGAATCTGTACCAAAGAAACTCCTTCCGAAGTTGCAGAATCAAGTGATGTCGTAATAACAATGTTACCTTCACCCTCTCATGTGAGTGATTTGTTTTCCTTTCTTATCCTCTCTTTATCACTTTACATCGTTCGCAGTCTGAGTTTTATATTTTACTTGTATGTACCATATTAGTTGCTGTGAAATCACTGTTACAACTATTGTGGGAGCTCCTGACAACAATTCTTTTCTGGAACTCCACGCTATCATTATATTAACTTGTTCTGCAAATAATCAACCCAAAACCAGTCATATGGGAACTTGGAGTTTATACATGCGAAGGATGTATCATTAATTAAGTTTAAAAAAGGCTAAAAGGATAATTTGGTCCCCGTACTGTGATCCCATACTCAAATTGGTCCTCACTTTATTTTTTTCTCAACTTAGTCCTTGTACCTCTTGTTAGATGTAAACTTAGTCCCATTTTATTTCTTTGTTAAAAATTTTGTTAAATAAAATTTGAGATGACAATTCTACCCCTACCTCCACTTCGTTCCTTATGAAAAAAAGAATTGCATGCTGGTAGCTTCTCATTTTATCTCCACTTTGTTTCTTTATTTTTCTTAGTTTAATTCTATGATTATGCTCTTTTAAACCTGTTTTAAATCATTTATTATGCTCTTTTAAACCTGTTTTAAATCATTCATTTTCATGTCATATCACTATGGCATGGAGTAGTATTTTATTCTTATCTTCAATGTGCGCGAGGGGATTTTGTTACACCGGCTGAAACTTTTACTATTTAGTTTATCTTGCTTTTGGGCTTTTTCCATATTAGTCCCTTGAATATTTATTATTTTGAAACTACTTCCTCAATCTGAAAATTGCTACTATGTCTCCAAAGTGCTATGTTAAAATTTGTCCTCAAATCATTGAAATTGCTATTAGATCTTGTTATTTTCTTGAGTTATTGTAGAATTAATCATGATAGCTAGGGTAACTAATGACAATTGCAATGATTCGAGGGACTGATTTTGAAATAACATTAGAATTAAAGAATCTAAAAGAAGTTTTAATTAGTTAAGGGTCCAATTTCCAAATGGAAGATTTAAGGGATAAATATTACGCAAGCTTCACGCATGAGTAGCTTCGATAGATCAATTTTTTTATGTCCTCATATAATTAATAAATATTTGGGTAAATTTCAAAAAAAAAAAAAATCCTCTGAAGTGTGGGAGTTTCTCAGATAATCCCCTTAACTTTTAAAGTGTTACAAAATCCCCCTTAAGTTTTGGGGTTCTTAGAAAACCTCCTTTGGCTTTCAACATTTTTTAGTCTTAAAGGTGTGAACCACAATTTTCACTAGCAAAAATATCCCTTGCATATTTTACCTTTACGTGTAAAAATAGTCGTTAATGTTGTTAAGTTTTTTTTATTGAAAAATGTTGAAAGTTGATGCGGGGTTTTCTAAGATCCCCTAAATTTAAAGAGGTTTTCTGACATTTTGAAAGTTAAAAGGGGTACAAGGACTAAGTTAAGAAAATAAAGTGTGAGGACCAATTTGAGTATGGGGTCATAGTACAGGGACTTTTCGTCTTTTAGCCAACAAAAAAATAAAAAAAATAAAAAAATAAAGGAATATCTTAATCCTCCCTGTTCTGTTATATCATGGTTAAGAATATAATGATGGTTTTTTTCTCAAAAAAAGAATATAATGGTGGTACAGTGTATTACATCATTGGTTGTGTTCTGTGTCCTTTTCTTCTTTTTGATTTAAAACATCTGGTAACCTCTGGTGCCTGGAAAATCACAGGATTTGGTAAGCAAATTAACCCAATACTTCTTCCATTTGCTACAATATGTTGAATCTTGAGTGATAGATTTTGATTAGTTTCTCATTGCTTCTCCTGCTATTCGATTTAAGTCATCTACTGTGAGGTGAGAGTCAGAATCATATACATTGGTCGAGGAATAGTGCAACTATCAGATCAAAAGATTATCCAGAATGGAAAAGTGTAGGATGATAGTGTCAAGAACAAATGAAGATTCTTACAATGAGCTGAGCTCGGATGGTGTATTTTCTGCCTCATCTTCAACTGCTTGGTGTACAAATTATTGACATACATGGATTCCATTAATCTCTGGGGAATATCAAATTTGATACAGGTGCAATAGATTCTCTGTGATTCTTCGAATTACACATGAGATGATGGATATAGGAAGAACAAAGAGTACCCATGGAGTTTAAATGAATCTAAGGCCTTGTGGTTCACAAATATTTTATGGAGGAATATTCATTTCCAGGTTGATGACTTTTTCATGATAGACATTGAATTTTTCTTTATTTTGGTTTAGTTACTTGATAAACTTGCTTGGTTTAATTTAGTCAGTTCTATGTCTTATAAGTTATATAAACCAATATACAATTGTAAATGACACATATCACAATCAATATTATTGGGAACGTTTTACCACACACTACTTATTGGCACTTCCAACATGTTATGTCTTACAAAATTTTCATTTCAGTGTCACTTTAGCATAAGTAATTGTATAATGTGTAACTATCACATGTTCATTTACCTATTATTTAAAGTTGTTTAATATGTTGCTTTGTCAAAACTGGTGTTTACTAAAAGCATATATTACAATTGTGGACCCTTTTACAGGTTTTGGATGTGTTTACAGGCCAAAATGGCTTGCTGCATGATGGAAATAATCTAAGACCATGGTTATTTATAGACTCTTCTACAGTTGATCCACAAACTTCTAGAAAGCTGTCTGCTGACATTTCTAAATGCATTCTAAAAGAAAAGAAAGGTTTGATTCAGTGTAACAGAGTCTTTAATCTAATCTCTATTATCATTTGACCATACTAGCATTATTTATGAAGGATAGAATATTCTGAAGTGGATGACACCTTTATAGCTGAAACCTTTTGATGGCACAATATCTCCCATGATTCTCCTGCTTGTGCCTCTAACTTTTGAACCTACACTTGTTAAATATAAGATTGTACCTTGACTTATTCCAGCAGATGTAGCTTTTACCTTAAATTGTTAATCTTGCAACATTGTCAATCTGAAAATTGATTCGTGACCATGCTCTATTTGGCTCTTTTGTTTTGCCTCAAGATTAATGTGGATGTCATTAGTAAATCATAATCTTTCTTTAAGATTCTTGGTTTAGGTGAACTTTGGAGTGCTGCTTCTTGGTTGCACGGGCATAAATTTCGTGACCAAAAAAGTCAATTTTCTTTTTAGGACTTGTGGCGAAGCCCATCCTTATCTATAATTATGTGGGAATTTGCACCTTTAACTGGTTAATGTCAGATTGACAGCCAATCATAAATAATTGTTTATGCAACTTGAAGTTTCCTTACTAATAATTTTAGGTTGTTATGCACATGTAACTTGGAGGGACAATTTCCCTCCTCTAAAAAGACTGATATGCAGGTACATGTTATACAGTCCAGGACCAGTTCCCGTCATTTTTAAGCAAATCAACACGGTGTTCAACATTATAAACCAAAATCTGTTTATATTCAATTAAGTCAACTGTTCCTTATTTCATGCATTTGGACAATTGACATAGTCTACTAATTTAGGGAATCTGTGCAATCCAATCATGCTGGATGCTCCTGTCTCTGGAGGGGTACCTGGTGCAGAAGCAAGAACACTTAGTTTCATGGTAAAATCTATTGTTCTTATCAACTCTATTCTGGTTCTTGTCCTGAATTTGAATACGCAGAACTGTCATACTTACTGTAATGGACCACATATACTTAGCAGACCTTTTGGCATGGAGTCAGTTAACTGGTTCTTACCCATGATTGAGCACATAAAATTGGTGCATATTGATTTTGTCCTTTTATTTGTTACATTTATATATCTTATGCTCTAAAGAACAAAAAGTATCTAACTTTTACAATTAACATAAAATATGCTAAAGATGACACCAACACGACAAAGCCTTCAACCCAAATTTTTGGGGTTCACTAGATGAATCCTTTTCTTCTATTCAGTTTTGTTCAAGGCTATATCAACTAATCATTGTCGTATCATTCTTAATTCTTAATTGCTTCTGACTAAGTTCTCTTATAACTACCTCTATTCCTCCATGCTTTATTAATTATAATTTTATTACTTCTTCTAAGTTGGTGCATTTAGTGATCTCCATTATACATTACTAAACCATCACATTTTATCATCAATAGGAGCAACCTTGGACATCCTGTTAATGTAATCATTTCAAATCCTATCTTTTAGTATATATTCACTAGTGCATCGTAACATTCTCAAATTTCTTTTTGGTCCTATAGTTGTCTTATAGATTTTTTTCCTTGAATTTCAAAGTTATTCAACAATCACATAGAATCCAGAATCACTCTTCCATTTTAACTGTCCTAATTTGATTCAGTGAACCACTGATCCTCAACCTCACCATCTTGACGAATAATTGATCCTGACTAACAAAAATAATTACTCCTAGGTACTTATTGATTGTCCCGTGTGTGCACTCTCATTCACATCTTTTCAGAGCTGTATTAAAATTACATTTGACTGATTCTTATTTTTTTATCTGCTTATTTTAAATCCTTTAGACTCGAGAGCATCTCCACCTTTCTACTTTAGAAATAAGATCTACTCTCATCGACTAATACTATGTCATCAACAAATAGCATACACCACAGGACCTCGTCTTGAATATTCCTAGTAGTCCATCCATATCTAATGCAAAAAAGATAAAAACTTAAAAGAGATATATAACCTTACTACATCCCCCTGGTCTTTATTACATACATGCACATGCGAACATCATGCCATTGCATGTTCGCATCTAACTCATTGTTGATGCCTTTAAGTAGTGAATATATTGGATAAGTGCATTTTTCTGATCTTTTAATGCTCATATTATTTCCTGCTGTCAAATTTTATGTAGCTCATGTTGTGTAGGTTGGTGGGCCTGAGGAGGCTTATCTGGAAGCCAAGCCCTTATTTCTCTCAATGGGGAAAAATACAATTTACTGTGGTGGTGCAGGAAATGGTGCTGTAAGTTTCCTCTCCTTCCTATGCTAGTCTTCGTATGTAACTATTTCTATATCTATTTTGACAGAAATGTATGTGAAACTGATGGTTCGCTCACATAGTTGAGTCCATTTTACTTCCAGTTCATGCTCTAGTCAAAAGGCTTCAGAAATTCTAAAAGTTATCTCCCAGTAAATTGTTTTACTAAATGGTTGGTTTTCCTAGAAACAATTTCACTCATGCAGATGGTATTATTAATTTTGATGGACTTGTGAACCGAGTTCATTTAACCTTTATCTCATTCATCATCTACCTTTCAAGGGTTCTCATTTTGTTATTTTTGAACAAGATTTTCAGTTACACAAGTTTGTTGCGCTGTTAGCATGAAAAACCCTTTTGATCTCCAGGCAGCTAAAATTTGTAATAATTTGGCGTTGTCTGTAAGCATGCTTGGGGTTTCTGAAGCTTTAGCTCTTGGCCAACGTTTGGGCATTGCTGCTAGCACTTTGACGAATATCTTCAACTCCTCAAGTGCTCGCTGTTGGAGTAGGTACTTTGCTCTCTACCTTGCTTGCATACAGATTGTTTCATGTAAAATAGGTTGTTTTATTCCATGCCGCTTATTTTATCATTTAATTGAAATTTTATAGTCATAATATTCTCTATGGATTCAGTTCTCATTTTCCCTTGTTTCCCCAAATATGACAGTGACAGTTATAACCCAGTTCCTGGAGTAATGACAGGGGTGCCTTCTTCAAGGAATTATGATGGTGGGTTTTCATCTAAACTTATGGTAAGGATGGATCTTTATTGCCACTTTCTGAACGCCATGCAATCCTCGGAAACTCGAATTAAAGTTTCTGTATAAGCACCTAGCATTTGCTTAACCCCGTAGCATCCATCTTGCTTGGTGTGACCTGTATAAATCTGTTGATTCATCCCATGTTGAAGAATCTGAAAGTTCAAATGTTAAAAAACTGTCTTTTTCGCCTCCAAATTTGATCCAAATGAACTATTTGGCTGACATATCAGTGCTGCTTAGATGTTGTAGGATTTTAGTGGATTAGAGAATCTTGAATTGTTATGTACAGTACATATTCCAGGGAAAAAGCATCACCAATAAACCTGATAAAGGAAGGAAGCATAAAATACACAATCATTTCAATTGATAACTATATTTGAATAAGAAATAAAGCAAATGCACCATCATTATCCATAACTAGCATGTTCTTGCTTGCATTATTTTTAATGGTTGTTGAAGATACTACCTTGTGATATTAAATGAAGACCATGATAATCTGTCATACGGATTTACTGGGACCCTGCGTCTTTTATTTTAACAATAAAATTTTTATGCGGTTGAACACACAAAACTATTTTTCCGTTCACCACTATTAAGGATCACATCCTCTATTGCCTCAGAAACAACTCTTCTTCCTATTTTTCACTCTTTTCCGTTGAAGCTTACTGCCTAGGATGCAATCCATCCCTAAAAAATGCTATGAAGTATGCTAATACTGAAATTAAGAATTAGAATTGTTAAAAGATACATATTTTTACAGCCACCCTATATGGCCGAGTGATAAAGATATTCGAGCCTAACTAATTTGATGGTTTTGTAATTATCGCTATGGGTTATCACATGTTACCTAATCACCCTGATGCAAGTTCATCTTATTGCAGGCTAAAGACCTGGGACTGGCCGCGGCAGCAGCAAAGGATGCTGGCATCATGTGCCCCTTCACTTCCGAGGCTCTCCGCATGTAAGCAGCCTTTGCCGCTTCACAATCTAAACGCTGATCTATTGCATATACGCAAGATGATGATTGCTTTAGTATGTCACATCTTATTGCAGATACGTGCAAATGTGCGAGAAGGGCTACGACTCTAAAGATTTTTCCTCTGTGTTCCGTCATTACTACTCTGGCAAAGACGAGGAATAAAATCTACTAAGGGAGCGTATATATGTACCGCCTCAACGTCAAAATATGCTATGAATTTTTTTTAAAAAAACACGGTGCTGTTGTTCTTCGAGGACTGTTGTTGTGTGTAGATATGATGATGGCATTGTGTTTGTCAGACTAGCTGTGGCTCAAACAAGAAATAAATAAAGTTTATTTGGCTTGAAGTTTCCATTTTCCTCTTGATCCGTTTTGTGTGGTCTTGATTATCGCTAGTCCGCAGGAAAAAAGAGAGTAAATTGTGATCCACAGAAAATTAAACGAAGTAAAGCAATCTGCGGGCGCCACTCGCATCCGAATCGGAAGGAGGCTTTGGATAAGGTTAGCCAGAGCCTTACCAGGACCCGGCCACACGGCAAGTGCCACGTGTCATCAGGATAATCACCCCCCCTCACTTCATATTATGATATCTCATGCAGTTGAATGGTAGCAAGTAGAGAGAGAGAGAGGAGCAAAGGAATTAAAAGGGAAAGGGCAATTAATGGCGGCCTCCATGATGTCTTCCTTGGCTCTGAAGCCGTCTCCACGTCTCCATTCGTAGAGAGGCCACAACAGGCCGCGAGAGGACTTCCTTCGTTGGCGAGGCCGTCTTCCTTCAAGGTTCGGGCCAGCGGAGGCAAAAAGATCAAGACCGACACCCCTTACGGTTAGTTACCGCTATAGTGACAAATAATAATAATAATAAATCAGACCTTATTGTCATATTCACATAAGTTAATTTGTTTTCCAAATTTATTTTATTTTATTTTATTTTATTGCAGGAACTGGAGGAGGGATGAACTTGAAAGGTGGTCTAGATGCATCCGGGAGGAAGCCTAAGGTTAATAAGCTCCCCCCTTCACTACTTGTTAATTACCCCTTTTTCCCTGCAAGTCATCTAAATATCTTCATGTATAAAAAACATTTATGAACTTTGGGTTGAAAGTTGAGTGTTGTTGTGTTCTGCTATTTATACAGGGAAAGGGTGTTTACCAGTTTGTGGACAAATATGGTGCAAATGTTGATGGCTACAGGTATGACTTTCTTTTCAGTGAGTTGCATGAAATACTGGCTTCCTGGAAATATTTCATCAGAAGAAAATAAAAATGAATTATGATAGAGATGCTAACGATATTCAAGAGGGCCCAGCTGAGTTGCTAAACTGTCTATGAGTAGTACACAAAGGTCTCAGCTTCGACTCTCCTGGAGAGCACCCATAGGAAATTAATTTTCTCGAATAATGCGCTGAGAGGTGCCCCGTAGCCATGCCCGGGGGTTTGACACCCACGGTTCGAAGGATCATGGGGAAGTTCCCTCGTCAAACCGAAACGAGAGATGCCGACAAATAATTTGATCTCCAAGAAAATTATTTAACCTGGAAAGCATTTTGAAACCTTGCTTACACCTTCTTTCAGTTGGAAACAAATATATTATTTTCTTGTACTTAACTATGAAAAGAAGAATTTGAGCTAAACTATCTTCATATTCTCATAATAACTTATGAGGATCTATTGTTCTAAAGAAATAGCTTGCTAGATACTTCAACTGAAATCTGATAGTATAGTCAAAATATGCTCATGCCTGGAAATTCAGAACATAATCTATAAGAATGTTCAAAACTTCAAATCTTATCTTCTTTTATTTCTATTGTAATCTGCAAGAATTTGCAGTTAGATAGATGTGTGTGTGTGTATATATATATATATATATTCCTTTATACAAATAGGAGGATCATAGATTCACTGTTCATGCTGCAGTAAATGCTACAGCAGAATTTACTGTAGCATTATCATTGTAGCTGATAATTAACTAAAAATATTACTGTATCACACGGGTATACTGTAGCATTTAAAAGGTACTGTAGCAGAACGGGATACTGTAGTACTTTCAAAAATTCAAATCATGCCATATTAAAAAGCGGGATTACTGTAGCAAAAAAACAAACAAACTAGTATATATATATTCAAAACACCTTTTGTTATCACTTAAGTACCAGGTCTATTTGAATCCTAGACCATTCAATTTCCGTAGAAACAGGATGATTTCTCATAAGAATCACTCACAGCCCTTTTTTTATTATTAAAAACATTGATTAATTAACATGTGAACACACTGCAGAAATTTTTAACATTTTAGCAAAAAAAGAAAAAAAATTATCAAACTTCATCGGTCATGATTTACTATTATTATTATTATTTTGAATGTCTCAAACCAAAATAGAGGAGACTTGTGTTACGTAGTCGATAGGTAGTATAAAAAATAGTCAAATCTACAGGATATAAATCCGAAGAATAAGATGACACATAGTAGAAAAAAAAAGGAAGAATAGAACTCATACAGCCAACCCTAAAAACTTGGAATAAAGGTTTTGTGGTGGTTGTCTAGCTAGAGAAGTTATTAACCGCGTGTTTAATCATGCAGCCCAATCTACTCTCCAGATGAATGGTCTCCCAGTGGTGACGTGTACGTCGGAGGTAAGCATCAAAAGGACATTAAATGTGCATAAAATTTCTACTGGTAATTCATAAATACTATTTTCTAGTGCACTGATGTTGTTCTATTTGATGAATGTCGGTCAAAAATGCAGGAACCACAGGGCTCTTGATATGGGCTGTGACTCTCGGCGGGCTCCTCCTTGGGGGCGCTCTTCTTGTGTACAACACGAGTGCTCTGGCTCAGTAGAAATACTATCCTCATACTGCTGTGTCCTGTATTCTACCCGTCTAAGTTTCTCTTGTTATTGTCAAGTCTCTCATGTTTGAAAACATACTAGTTGTTTATAATTAATGAGCTTGATTATAATTCTGGGACACACATGGTTCATTTTCTCTACCGCTTGATGCTTGAGGATCTTATGACAGATGCGGAGCCAGCCTTTTCAGGACCAAGAATAGAAATAGTATGTTAAACGTTGCAGAAGGCACAGAAATTTGATCTCAAATTTTATGTGTTTTTTCACAAATATTGTCCCATCATATCTATATATGTTTCGAAAATTACCCTTCAACTCTTCAGGTTTGTCATTTTACCCTCGAAATTATACTAAACTCGTTAGTTAAAACTTTTGCAATATTTCCAACAAAACTAGGATGAATTTCATTCCCCGCTCTCTTCTTCTTTCTTTGTAAACCCGAAAATAGGAAAAGACTGGATATAGATTTCCGTCTTTCCTCCCATCTCTTTTCTGACCTGAGAAAGAAAGAGGGGCTAACCGGTGTTCAAATAAGTAGGTTGGAATTATGTAGTCATATTTTGGCCAAAAAAAAAAGAAAAAGAAAGAAAGAAGGCAAGGAATGAATATGGATAAGTAAAATTAATCGCATTAGCTTAAAGGAATCAAAGGTAACTTAGAGGCCTAACTTCACATTGAGCGGTAAATTACATTAGGTTTTGAGAGTACATATTGGAAAACACAAATTATCGATAAACACAACGTTACCGAATTAAAGAATGTAATGGTGCAAAGCATACTTCTTCATAAATCAAAGAATGAATGACATGAGGAGATAAATCATATGTTGCTTCAAAAGTTGGAATAAACCTCAAAAGACTCTTCCCATTGCTGTTATGAGGTTTAATAAAGCAGCAAGTGAGCTTTATGCAACCTCGCAAATATTATGTATCAAGCGGTAAGACCAACTACTACAGTTACAATTAAGCTGGAGGTCGGTTTTCTCAAAACGGCAGCGTAATTGCACATCATCCTGATTAAGTAAATTGGAAATTCATACCAGTAACCACAAAAGGAGTTCCAAGCGTAAAGCAAAATGCAAAGATAAAAATTCTGCCGAGTCGTACATATCGCCATTATAAAGAGCTTGTAAGCTTACAATTTGCTACTAGCAATAAAAATATTGCCCCGTCAGCTGCGCCCCATTTTTTTTTAAAAAGCAACTCTTAATGTGACAGCGACAGGAATTACTTTTTTCCACCCCCGGAGACATTAAATTTGAAGAAAATAATGTCGGCATCCTGAACTACGTAAGTTTTCCCCTCCTGCCTGTACTTTCCAGCAGCCTGAGGTCATAAAGACAAAAGTCAGTTGATGATTTTTCCGTTAAGAATCAATAAGCATGACAAAAATGAAACTATAAGAAAGAGCAGTCAGGTTCCATAGATATACCTTAACAGCTGATTCACTGCCCAGCTCTTTTAAATCCTCAAACTTCATAACCTGTACTCCATCATGTTAGTCGCCAGAAGATAACTTAATCATGATGTTAGTGCAAGTGTAATACCCATCTCCAAGTATTCCAAAATGACAGCAGCAACAGAGATTTTATTTGCGTGTATTCAGAAAGAAACGCATTTAAGCATACAAACTATTTCATTCTTCAACTAGAACCATGAGTCGCTGATCAGGAAAAATGAAATGGATATACATTGCTTGCTATATCCATGCACCCTCTCACATTAAAGTTAGCAGAATAAATGGATAAAAATTCAACATGCCATATTGCCATGATAGTATGTTCTAAGGTCATTTAAGATTTCATTTTAAAAGTAGTGCTCTATGACATTTTGACCAACAAAAATGATGATTGCACTCTAATAAACCTATCTCTTATCAGAATAAAAGAACAGACATACCTCTGCACATATAAAGCCTCTTTCAAAATCAGTATGGATGGCACCTGCAGCTTGAGGAGCCTTTGTGTGCCTCCTGATCTGCCAACATTTCACCTGTGATGACCATTACCACATCAGGAACAGCTAATGTACAACACATAAAATTGCAAAATAATGGAAGGATTAGGGTAGTTAGATTGAGAGGACATGACAACAATAAGAGCACCCCCAAGACAAAATAAGGTAAGATACCCCCCAAACAATGATTATGAGCAAAGTAATAATAGAGAGAAAGAGAGAGAGTAAACGGGGACCACTTGGCTGGTGTGTTGCTAAAGTAGCACGAATCCAGACACCAAAAACCTAGATCATTGACCTATCCAGATCATAACCAAAAGCGTAAACGTGCGCCATGTCAGCAACACACCATCCAACTACATGGAGAGACACACAAGAAGCCCTGTTTACTCTTTAGCGGCGACAGTGAAAAACTGTACCTCATCTGGGCCAGCAGTGAAGAAGTATATGAGATTGATTGCAGAAAAACCAGTCTTTATGATCTTTGGGATGGCACTGTATCAAGATAATTCAATCATTTAGAGAGATGAAAAAGCTTGTTATGATGTGTTTATAACACGATATTAATGTGGTGTCAAGAAGAAAACATAGATGTCCAAAGGTATATGCAACCAACGGAACGCTAAATGTCCAAAGGTAGATGTGACCATCATTACAAAAACCACGTATTTAAAGTGATAGCACTTATGCAACCAACAGCATGTTAAAAGTTCATAGACAGATGTGACCATCATTACCAAAGCCACTTGTTTAAAGTGCTTGCATATATCCAACCAACAGAACGTTATCTGTTCATTGATAGGTCAGCACTAATCATGTGTTATCTATGATGCAGAGTCTGTCCTCAAGCACTTCTTTTGATCATCTAAGACCACCAAGAAAGTTTGTTGCAACTGGTTAAACTTATATATATCAGCAAATGAGAACAAGGGACCAGCATGCATCAAATCAGGAACTGTGCAGCCAGTTAAATAAAGAATATAACCATGTTTCTTTTTACGGAAAAATGTGTTCAGCCCCCAAAAGCAGAAACTTCATGTGACCAACCCCCTTGTATTTTCCCCCATGTGGATAAGCCCCAAAAAGTAATGTTAAATGTGTCAAGGCCCCAACACGTTAGCAGTATACAAAATAGAGATTGTATTTAAAAAAAAAACCCAAATTGCCTTTCTCCTTCTTCCCGAGACATAGCCCAAAAGCATAGAAAGTCACGTCATCCTTCTCTCTCTCCCTCTCTCTCTCCTCTCTCTCCCTCTCTCTAAAATAAAAGGGGCCCTCGCCCTCCTCGCCGTCATCACCTTTGCCCAGGCCCCCGGCGCCGCCCCCCAAGTCCCTCCGGGCCCACGACTGATAAAATGTTAGCTCTGGTATGTGGTGAAAACAAAACCAGAAAAAGGCAACAAGGGATGTGCTGGAGGTAGAGCTAACGCCGGAGCTCCGCTAGCCTCTTCTCTTCGTTCTTTCCAGCTCTGCCGCCGTCGAAACCCTTCCCCTGTCTCCGCTTGTCCTCTTCCACAACGATTTCCGCTAAGAAACGTCAGGATGCTAGCGTCAGTAGATTGGAGCTTGATATCTACGATTTCATGGAGAAATCTGAGAACCCGAGTGCGTTTTTGACGAGGGAGGAGCTGATTTCAGGCGGGAGGCTGGGTTTGGCCGAGGAGATTCTGAAAGAAGGGGACTAGCTCTCGTACGGATGGACGAAACCATGAGAAGAGAAGGAAGCCGTCGAGATCTCTGAGCAGTGGTCGAATGATGGTTTCTTGGAGGAGGATTCTTCGTCTTCCTCTTCTGGTGATCTGATATGAGTGAGTTCTTGAAAATTTTGTGTTTTTGAGATTTCTGGTTTTCTTGTTTCTTGAACTCTTCCTTTGGTTGTTATTGTAAAGTAGGGAATGTGAGGTTGAAGTACAAGGTGAAGGACGTGGAGGGGTATGATTGGGGAGTTGTTTGGACGAAGTGGAAGAAGATGAGGGAGAGGAGATCCATTTTGTTCTATGTTATTAGCCATTGTATTTACTAGTGTTTAGGGGTTGAACCCCTTCAAGAATCTGTATAATGCTTGGTTAATTGCACATAAACCTCATGTGTTATAGGGGGCCTTGTCATTTGTTGTCCCTGAGCCATGCATTTCCTAGAGAACAAGCTGTTTGAACTAGTTCATGTTAGTTCTAAATCAATTCTTACGTATTTTGTATTTTGTATAAGATTACTTCTCCACAAAATATAATGAAAGCGAATGTTGTGTTCTTACGTGGCATAAGCTGGTCCGCCATAATAAAGATACCTACTAAATGTTTGTTTTAAATTCTCTACATGACCAGCTTTTAGTCATAGAGATGGTATAAAATAGAACCAACTTAGTATAAAATAGAACTAACGTGGTGTAATTTAGAACTAACGTGATATAAAATAGAACTAACGTGGTATAAATTAGAACTAACGTGTTATAAAATAGAATTAACGTGGTATAAATTAGAATTAACGTGGTATAAATTAGAACTAACGTGGTTAAAATTAGAGCTAACTTGGTATAAAATAGAACTAACTTAGTATAAATTAGAACTAATATGATTTAAATTAGAACTAACTTGTTATAAAATAGAACTAACTTGATATAAATTAGAACTAACTTGGTATAAATTAGAACTAACATGGTATAAAATAGAACTAACTTGGTATAAATTAGAACAAACTTGGTTAAAATTTTAGAACTAACTTGTTATAAAATAGAACTAACTTGGTATAAATGAGATATAACATGGTATAAATTAGGTTTATAACGTGGTTTAAATTAGAACTAACATAAATTAGATATAACGTGGTATAAATTAGATATAACGTGTAATAAAATAGAACTAACAAGCCATCACACGCTACAGAATAGAACTAACACTGTACAGATTAGAACTAACACTCTACAGAATAGAACTGACACTGTGCAGATTAGAACTAACACTCTACAGAATAGAACTAACACTGTGCAGATTAGAACTAACACTCTACAGAATAGAACTAACACTCTACAGAATAAAACTAACACTGTGCAGATTAGAACTAACACTCTACAGAATAGAACTAACGTTGTATAAAATAGAACTAAAATAATATAAATTAGAACTAACTTGTTATAAATTAAAACTAACTAGGTATAAATTAGAACTAATGTGGTATAAATTAGAACTAGCGTGGTATAAAATAAAACTAACTTGGTATAAATTAGAACTAACGTGTTATAAAAAAGAATTAACGTGGTATAAATTAGAATTAACGTGGTATAAATTAGAACTAATGTGATTAAAATTAGAGCTAACTTGGTATAAAATAGAACTAACTTGGTATAAATTAGAACTAATATGGTTTAAATTAGAACTAACTTGTTATAAAATAGATCTAACTTGATATAAATTAGAACTAACTTGGTATAAATTAGAACTAACGTGGTATAAAATAGAACTAACTTGGTATAAAATAGAACTAACGTGGTATAAATTAGAACCAACTTTGTATAAATTAGAACTAACATGGTATAAAATAGATAAATTAGAACTAATTTGTTATAAATTAGAACTAACGTGGTATAAATTAGAACTAACGTGGTATAAAATAGAACTAACGTGGTATTTCAGTGACAAGGGGAAAAAAGAGAAATATTATGGATGATGTTGGCAGCTTCTTACAACAGAAGGCAAAATTCGTAAGCCAGCTTGATTTCAACTAGCAAAACTATGGCAAACATTAAAGAGCATATTTCAACCAGTAAAAGAAACTTTGCTTCCCAGAGGGGACTGAAATAAACTTATAATTCTTTTCAACATAATATATTAGCACTCAGAATGATTCATTGATGACTTAGCTTTCATTTCAAAGCTCGTGAAAGGAACCAAAACCAACAAACATAGAACTAATAAATCTGCATATATCAAATTTGAAATCTGCTCGTGATGTAAATGCATTGATGACATTTAGTTCTAATACACTGGAGTTGGAGCAGGTGGTCTCTGCAGACCATCATGATCGGAGCGGCGGCGATCGCGGGCTAGGCGGGTGGCGAGCTCCAGCTGCAAGCTCGGGTGGAGGAGAGGAGGAGAGGGAAACGCTGAACTTAAGGCGGAGAGTGGCAGCGACGAACTCCGGCGTAGTCGAGGGTGAGGCGGGGAGCAGCGGCGAGCTATGGCGAGGAGGGCGGGCGGAGGAGAGGAGGGGAGGCAGCGGCGAACTCGAGGGGAGGCTTGGGGCCCTGGGCGGAGGCGACGACGGCGAGGAGGGCAAGGGCTAGGGTGACAGACTTCAGAAAGTCCTTGGTTTTAGAGAGAGAGAGAGATGAGAGAGAGAGAGAGAGATGAGAGAGAGGCATGGTTCTTGAATAGGAAGGGGCGTAGTAAACGAGTACAGTCTCATCAAAGGGGTAAGTTCGTAACTTCTCATGGGCTTTTTTTTAAAAGTGATACTTTAGAGCCTCGTCACAAATACTGTAGGTATTTGGGGCTTATCCACATGGGGGAAAATACAAGGGGGCTGATCACATGAAGTTTTTGCTTTTGGGGCCTTGACACATTTTTCCCTTCTTTTTAATGCAAATATTCAATATGGTAGCTTTAATATATGTATCTAGGATTAAAAAGTTCATTTCATCTTTATCATTAATCATCGAAAAGAGCAATGCAACAGTACATATTGAAAAGAAAATTTCCCGATCAACAACAAGGATTCTAGTCCAAGGCTACAATATTTCTTAAAACGATGGAACAAGAATGGTGAATGTGAGTGAAATCTCACTGACTGAAAGGCTTTGTCTGTGATATGCAAAGTTATTCAAGTTAAATAACTACAAAGGAATAATTTATAAAAGTTGAATGATAATGACAAACACATCAAGATGGAATTATCGCGTACATGAAGCTGTTGAAGGGCAAGAAAGAACTGCTGGTTGCACCAGGGTCAAAAGGCTAGAAAAGAAAAAAGACCTTACATAACTCAGATACTGGGGGCGTTGCGCCTAGGTAAGACTTATTGATAAATAACGACTCATGATAGACTACATGTAGTTGAAGGAAGCCATGGTCATTTTATATCATTTATACTTTATCAACTTTGATCAGTGATAGAAAGATGAATGATGATGCAAAACACCAAAACATAGAAATAGTTCGATAGTGTATCAATGAAAAACTACAGATATCTATGTCGATCATCTAAGTGCAAAAGAGCAAAATCGGCACCCAGTTTGCAACATATTGCTGTCTGTGATACATAGAAAAAACAACAGTAACAGCAAGCAGCCACAAAGTAGAAACAAGGATCTTTAGTGCTCTCGATTGATAGGCGAATTAGAAGTGCATGACTTTAGAATTGCAGTTAAATATGCATGAATAAATCCATCTCATCCTACAATGCTTCACACCGCTGGCTGACTTATTTAAGAAATGTTGTTTCTGTATCATGTGCTCTTTTTCCTCACAAAATATTAGCACATGAAATATTCCTTGAAGAACATAGGGTCCAAATCAAAGAATAAGAGTCATATAATGACATTAATGTATAAGTACTCACCTCTGTAGATTTTTTTCCTTGCAATATTTAGCAGCCTCGTCCTCTGGCATATCTACAAGGGTTTTTTCCAAGACGCAGCTAAAAGGTATAATAGGCTCACCACCATGCTCCTGCACCCTGAACAATTAGGGGAAAATATTACCCAACATATTTATGATTTTCATTCTTGGAATTTGAATCATCTCAGAATGCCCCACATACAAGCGCGGCGTTTACAAGCATTAATGAGCGGATGAAATGACATAATCCCACTCATCACCCCTTGCAGCATTCTGATATGAATTTTACTCCCATTGTTGCAAGGAACAGATTTGAGTGTAATGCTAAAGCAAAGCATAACTGAGTCTAAGGTTCTGAATATTATATCACATATATAGTTCTTGGATGTAATTGGTGTGAAAGGGCCTTCTGGTAAGCTGGGCCTCATAGCGCATCTTAAATTCTGAATCTGCAAGAAATTTTAGCATTTATTTTTGCAACAACTATGTGGGCATATGATATCAGATTTAAAGCACATCAACACCCTGAATCTTATATCTAAAGTTGAAGCAAAATTGGTTGCAATACAACCAAAAGATAAAATATGCTGAAAGTAGACATGGATATTTACACAGGCCTGTGTTAATCTAGTGGTGTAAGAAATGAGTTTAGGCTAAATACTATAGTCCTTAACATGTAAATTGTACTAATTAAGTGCTTTATATGATTGTAGGTGAAAATACAATTTGACAGTTTGCATTTTCCACAAGGAGTATCATTGATTCTAGGAAGATGTTAATTACAAATGGTATTAACTTAACAAGCAGCTCATCAACAGCTTGTTTTCAACTTAATCTCAATTCAGCCAACCATGAACTTGAGATCTTTGCTGATGCTACGAGTTATTGACAACAGGAGCTCAAAGAATTTCATCCAGGATCAATCACAGTTGAATAGTGGATCATGTACCCTTAAAGACATAGCTAGCTACAATAGAAAGTAGATTTAGCAAAGAACAAAGCAAGTGAAGCATACCATGCATGAATCTTGGGAAGAAACTTGTTCTTCTTCCTCTGGTAGTCTCTCTCATTCATGTTCACCTGCATGTAGAAAGGAGAGATAAGCACATGAAAGAAACAGTAGGCTTGTAACAAAGACAAGCACACAAAGAAACAGTAAACATCTAAGCAAGATAAGCACATGAAAGAAACAACAGGCCACTAAGACAAAGAGGTAACAACTACAACATGAGCATAACATTGCATATGCACCAACTTAAGTAACTAAAGAAAAGTATGTGTATGAAATGCGGGGGTGGGGGGTTGGGGGGGGGAACAGTTTACTGAATTCATTACCAAGTAGACAACAGGTTTGGCTGTAAGCAATTGAAAGGTGTTTAGTATCTCAACATCAGCAGCTTTCCAATCTCCTAAACGAACATCTTTCCCACCCTCTATCCATGCTTTCACCTGTAGCATGAGAGAAATCAAACCAAAAATTACTTGAGAAGCCAGATTCAAGCAGTAATTGTACTTGAAAAATGTAGAATAACTGAACAGAAAAATTGAGGAGATGGATAGCTACTGCAATCCACTGAGGAATAGGAGTACGCAGGCCTCAGAAACATAAAAATTATAAGAAAGAGGTGTCTAATCGGATTTCCTCATTTTCAGCAACTAAGAGGAAGTTGAAACATCTATATCAAATGGAGAACAAAATAATTCGCATATGCATGTAACCAGCCCGTAGGTCAAGTACAAGAAACTTCGTTTCAGTTATTTCACAATTTTGGGTTCGACCTCACATATGGATTTGGAAAGTTATATATAGAGAAGGAAAAAAGCATGCATGTATGAAATTTTTAATTCTTCCAGTACACATGGCAGTATGTGCCACTGAGACACAGCAAATCATTTTTGCATTGCACCAGATTGTGCGTTGAATGTATACAGTGCTAGTTTTAACGCATTTCTCTCAGTATATTCAGGTTGAAAAGAAATTTATGAAGTAACTAAAATTAACATATTATCAATTTGCTGAAGGGCATTGTTCGCCCCAGATAAAACAGATCAAACCTTATGCATATGAAAGTCATGAATTTTTATAGACTACAATATGAAAAATATAATGGCAAGGAACTTGTACATAACAATGCCTAAACTAAGCATGGTTCTGGTTTTAGTAGATACTCGAAGCCCCAAGTTTATATAATAATCATATCGCTTATTAGCCCTACAGATCTAGTTAAGTAAAAGATATGAAAACTCAAACATGGACTTTGAAGCAAGAGTACTTAGTTTTCGGATATATGATACTGTTTTCCCAACCGCTGCAGTCTAGGCATGAATTCAATTACCTGTACTAGACCCTACCCATTACTTCTTTTTCTTTTTTGTTTAGTGTCATATCCCCTACTGCAGAGGCAACAGTAATTGGCAGGAAGTGCACTTTGCTTACTCCCAACTACTTACGCATAATATTGCATATTGATGATCATCACTGTTGTGCTATAAGATGAGTTAAGTAAATTGCATCTAAAACCTGGACACAACTAATTGAATCATACATCATTAAAAAGTATATAGTTTTTCTTTTTTTTAAATACCATATTCCCTTCTCTATATGTTTTGATATATTTCTTAGCTGAACAAGTCATTTCAGTAAAATTCAGGATTAGTTCTGGTGAAAACTGAACAGAAATTCCTGAGAGGTTTCAATTTCTTGCATGCAACTGTGGAACCCTCATTAATGCCTACACCTTTGTGTACAACAAATATATGTAAGTTTCACATGGTCAGTTCATAGATATAGAAAACGACTTAGAATGACTATTAAAATTGTTAGTATAGAAAGATAACCTCCATTTACTCAAAATACACTTATTTACAGATTCTTGCTCTATAGTGGTGTAAAGGATCCGGAAAGCACCATACCACAAGCCTAACAGACTCACTTATAACCCCTCTCTACTGCAAAATTTAATTGACAAGCTTTCCTGAGGATTCTACCAGAGTTGTTATATAGGTAAAAACCAAGTATCTTTCAAGCTTTTAAGGCTGGAAATCTCATAAATGATGAAAAGGTCCTAATGGGAACATGCCTGGTGACTTGAAACCTCACAAATTTGAGCAGCAACTACCTATCAAGTTGTTTCATCTAGTGGACATCTGAATTTCCATAACTATGCAGTAATAGTGAAATAAGGTAGATAAAAACAGAAACGTTGGATACAAGTTCACAATATTGTGAAAGGAAATCTATAAACATTAAGAAGAACTGACCCTCTGACAGCATTCATGTTCTACTTTAAGTTGCTTGTCATTACTTCTTTTCATGCTTTTTTCAAGATCTTCCAGCTTCCTTTCCATAAATTCCACATCCTACAGCAACAAAAAAAAACAGGTATGTGGTTTAAGTTCAGATACCAAGAGGGACAAAGCATTCAATATGGAAAGGGCAATTCCAATCAGATCATAGAGATAACATACATAAATATGTCACATGCAATATAGATATCACATGTAATGAGTTTACCAGTATATAGAATAGGCAGTATTACATTTTTTAAGACATATCTGAACATGCATGCTTTCAAAAGCACACATACTACACTTGCAGTTTTAGAATAGCAATACCTTAAGCCGAAGTTCCGCAGTTATCGTCTCTAAATCCCTAACAGGATCGACAACATCATCAACGTGAATGATATCTGGATCCTCAAATGCTCCTGTCAACACATGTTAAATATTTACTTGAGATCCACTTAATACTAGGCCTATAAGTGAAGATAAAAGTAAAACTTATGATACAGCAGCTCAGCTACAAGATGTCGTGTCTATTTATACAAAGACACAAAAGACTGGAGTATCATCTTCTCTTGAGAATCATTTCTTTATTAAGGTGAGTGATTGTTGCATGTTGTCCGCAAATGCTTTAAGTCAAAAGTCCACATGGAACAGAAGATTTTTTAGTTCTATCATGTGTTGTGTGTGTGTGAGCATGCACGGGCTCATAAAAGAGTATACAGCAAATGTCCCATACTTGAAATGTATACCTCCAAATGCTGTGCAATAAGCATGCAGACCCAAGTGTGTGAATATATATTATAAGCAAACTGAAGTAACATGCATATTTATTTCATAAATTGCATGACCATGAGGCAAGCTTCACGATATAGACTTTTGCGCTAAGAAAAACAATTCAGACCTTCCTACAACTCAATATACTTAACATGTTGCATTTGACTATGATGTGATGCTCTTATCAAGATATAACTACGACCATGATATATGAAAAGTTGAAAAGCATCTGCACAGGCGGATGGATGGAAATCAAAGAGGCACAAAGCATAGAACTTAAAGGGTCAATAATCAAATCTTGTTTCAGCCATCTAGTGAGCTAATATCAACATAAGTATATATATAAAGAGACATAGTCTGGACTTTCATTTTATTGAACATGGCCAAGCATTGATATATAAATCCCTAAAAAAGTACAGTAGTGGCACCTTGTGCTTTCTTAAGCTATAGCATTATAATCGAACCAATAATATACTAAAATTCATGATAAACTTGTCAATAAAAATTTAGTTGAAAAAAGTATCATCCATGACAATTTCTATTCACCAGGGAACCACAATAGTAAAAAAGACGAAACAGAAGACACCTACTTAATACATGAAAAATGCCATCAACAGCACGAATGTGAGAGAGAAAGTTGTTCCCCAAACCCTGGCCTTGATGAGCCCCTCTCACAAGCCCAGCTATGTCATGTATTTCCAGAAAAGCTGACACCTGCAAAGAACCCCCTTTGATATGCATCTCATGTGTTCTATTTAAGAAAAAGTGAAGGGAAAACAGAAAATGTATAGAATCCTTAGAGAACAGGCACGGTTAATAGGTCACAATCCAATAATTTAACTTAGCAATTATTTAACTTACAAAGTTTGGATAATAATAACTACAGCAAAGCCCTTACCCAAAAATTTTATGTGGCCAGCTACATGAATCCAATTCTTCCATTTAATTATATTATGTGTTATCTCCTCCGATAACTTAACTATTACCACATATTTCTTAAGGGTGTGTTTGGATTTTAATGGGGTTAAGGGAAGTTAAGGAAAACTAGGTGAGAGAATGGAAGGGAATGGAATGGAGTTCTCTTCCCCTTGGTTACACCCCAATTTGGGGTAACAAATTTTATACTATTAGGGGGTAAACCAAGGGGAACTAGGGTGAATAACTTCACCTCCTAAATGTTCCTAAACAAGGTGAATGGTTCCCCTAACTTCCCTTCACCCTTATTCCCCTCAATCCAAATTGTTTCCAACCAAGTCCTCTTTACCCCCATTAACAGTAATATTATTGCTTCTCCTAATTGCTGCATTTAGCGACCTCCATTGCACATGACCAAACCCATCTCAATTGATGCTCTCTCATATTCTCCTCGACAGGAGCCTATGAGTGAACTAAATTCCTTTTTAGTGTATATCCACAAGACCAACATAACATTCTCATTTCCGCTACATTATAAACGTCAAAATTAACAATCTTTATTAATTCTTACTGGGTTCTGACGATTAACAAGTAAGCGACCGAAATAATAGCAGTAGAGGTGCGAACCTCGCTCTTAGGCTTGTAGAGCTGACAAAGCCAATCAAATCTCTCGTCGGGGACATTAATTCGGGCCTCGTTAGGCTCGATGGTACAGAACGGGAAGTTCTCCGCAGGGATCGATAGCTTCGTCAGTGTATTGAAGAGTGTGGACTTGCCAACATTTGGTAATCCAACCTAAATTAAACAACCATCAATTTACAAATAAACAAACATCATCAGCATCGATTAGCTATCGTATCTTTATGAATCATTTTCAATTTTTCTGGGGGAAATCGGGAGCTTACGATTCCGATCTTGAGGTGAGAGGAGAAACGTCCGAGGATTGGCCTCTCGGGTGCGGCTTCCTTCGATTTAGCGGCCTTGGGAGGCATCGAGAAGATCTAGGGTTTGAGAGGGAAAACCCTAGGCAGCGATTTAATATTTCTAGGGTTTTCGAATGGATAGCAGAAGCTTATATCTCGCTCGGATTCTCACTCTGCTAGTATCTTGCGGCCGCTGGTCACCCGCGACACGCGTGGGATTTAAGCAGACGACGGGACGGGCGCGTGTTATGCACGTGCAGTGATTTATTTTTTAGTTTTTTTTTTTAAGTTTGCAGTTTTTGTTCCCACCAAATTGATTGAAGTATTTATTTTTATAATTTTTTTATATAAAATGTAAGTTTATTTTACAATTCTAACTACAAAGTTACAAACTAAACAATGTATTTACAAATCTCGTTACGCTATCTACGCCCGCATCCCCATTTACATCCAATCAAATATCCCCTACAAAAAGAAAAAAATTAGTAGAAATCATTGATATATTGGATAATACCATTTGACTTTTTTTACAAACTTCTATCTAGATCTTGACTATGTATTGATGATATGGCAAGACAAATTTGTCATTTCACGTTTTTTTGCCAATATAGTAATGAGTTGCACTATAAAGTTGGGCTTCCACTTATTTTTTGCTAACATGGCAAGGTCAAGGCACCACCACATCAATAAGATTTGACGAAGTTTATAAAAAGGTCGTAGGACGATGAGGTAAAGTTTAAGAACCTTCACTGATAAATTTCAAACAATTAATGTGAGAATTACGAGACTTTGACATGTTATTTTGATGAAATGGAATCCAAAGCTAGAACCAAGAAACTATACTATACTACTATAAAAAGGATTGGTATGTTAAAACTTTTAATTTCTTTTTTGTCATCACAAATTTTCATAAATTCTAACTATATTATTATCTCTTATTAATCTGTCATTAAATAAATATAACCTCTTATTAATTATGCACCTCCTCACCTTCCTAGATAATTATAATTATCAATAATGTTATAACTATTAATTGTTTAAAAATAATAATATAAAATAATTTATAAAATACGTATACACAACTACTAGTAGTTGCCAATTAAATTAATATAATAATTATTTATGGATTATAATAAAATAATTAAAAATAATAGTATAAACATAATACTATATTACTAAATACTAATAAGAAATTTACTATAATTTAATGATCATTAAAATAAATATAATATTATATCTAATTAATCTTTCATTATATAAATATAACCTCTTATTAATTATGCACCTCCTCACCTTCCTAAATAATTATAATCATTAATACTATTATAACTATTAATTATTTAAAAATAAAATAAAATAACTTATAAAATAAGTATACACAACTATTAGTAGTAGCCAATTAAATTATTATAATAATTATTTATGAATTATAATAAACTAATTAAAAATAATAGTATAAACATAATAATATATTACTAAATACTATTAAAAATTATACTATAATTTTATGAGAAATAAAATAAAGATAAAATTATCTCTAATTAATCTTTTATTAAATAAATATAATCTATTATTAATTATGCACCTCTTCACCTTCCTAAATAATTATAATTACCAATAATATTATCACTATTAAGTATTAAAAAATAATAAATAAAATAATTTATAAAATAAGTATACACAGCTATTTGTAGTTGCTAAATTATTATAATAATTATTTATGAATTATAATAGCATAATTAAAAATAATAGTATAAATAGAAAATATATTACTAAATACTATTAAGAATTATACTATAATTCAATGAGCAATAAACTAAATAGAATAAATTTTGAATCACATAAATAGTGTACTTATTTTAGTAATATCACATAAATTATGAATTACACTATTTATTTAGTACTATATTATTAAATAAATTAAATAAATAATTTAATATAATTTTTAGATTATTTTCTCAAAGACTATATTTGTTAATGATTAAAAACTAACCTTTTTTAAAATTAAATTATTAATTGTTAATTACAGTATGATAAAAATTTATAAAATATTTATAGTACTAAATTATTTAAGAGCATAATTTAAATATTAAATTAGATAAATATTTTATAGTATATAAATAGTATAATTATTTTAATAGTATTACTTAAATTAAGAGTCATAATATTAAATAAGATAAATTACAGTAAATCCCCATGAACTTTCAGCATTTTGCAATAAATAGACCGTATGAAATTTTAAAATCACACTAAACCCCAAATAACTTTTGTAGAATGCACCCAATCTATTAGATAAATTACACCAAAATGCTAATAACTTTCAAAATTCCTTTTTATGTCATTTTTTTATTCTAATTTAAAGGTTTTTTTTGCAAAATTTAGAATGTTACTGAAATTACCCTAGAGGGGGGTGAATAGGGTAATGTGCTAATCTAATCTGATTTAATGCCAACTAAAACTTGTTAACAAATATAGAATGTTATTCAATAAGATGTGCAATGATATATAATTAAACTAAGGGCAATGTAAACAAGAGACAATGGCGGTATAATAAGCAATGAACGCAAAAATAAATGTACGCCAAATAATCAACACAAACACACAAAGATGATCACGGGGTTCGGACCTTCCAACCTATGTCTTCTCTCCCCACTCTCGGGGAGAATCCACTATCACAATGAGTTTTCGACGTTCACCAAAAATGTTTACACCTCACAATTCGGTTTTCTACGCTCACTGACAAATGTTTACAACTCACACTTGTAACTACACAATACCACCTCAAGTGTTGGCCTCTCACGTGTCACCTTCCTCGTGTGTTCAGAATTACCACCTTTCTCTAGGCTTTACCACGACCCCACTCCTCTTGGAACTGACCACATCTCTCACCTTATACTCCTCTTAGTGTACTTGTGTAATACAATATGATTTCACAATTAAAGCACAAATACAAATTATTTGTTCTCTACAATGGATGAGAACTCAATGTAGCTCACTCTTAATGATACACTCCCCACAACCCAAATATACTCAATGTGATAATACTAAAAGCTCAAAGGGTGTGTGTGTAATCAATGAGAAAATATAAGATGCAAACTCAAAAAGTAATCTAGCTTAAGAAATTATGATCAAACAAATATAAATAAAGCTGGAGATGAGTTTAGCATAAACTTCTCTAAAAATCAAGAGAGAGATGAGATGAAAGCCCAAACATAAAATGATGATCTCTTCTTCCTCTTGTGAAAACTTATTCACAAACAAACTTGAAACAACTTGAAAACTCTTAAACAAACTTACTCAAAACTTGATTTAAATTTTTCTAAGTTAACTCGGAAGTTATGAGGCATGGGGTATTTATAGGATTACAAGACAAACCCCAAAAACCAAGAAAACTAAGCAAAAAGATAAAAAACCAAAAATTTGTGCATTCTGAAAAACTAGCCGTTACAGTGTTATAAGTCGACTTCCTATAGTACATAAGTTGACTTATAACTAGCCGTTACAGGCTGAAGAACTCATATAAGTCAACTTGCAAAAATTATAAGTCGACTTATAACATATAAGTTGACTTGCTTTGGTGATAAGTCGACTTAGCATATAAAAACCGTTTTCCAGAATAGTTCATAAGTTGACTTGTCTTAATCATAAGTCGACTTATGAACATGCACAAGGACAGTGCATGTTTAAAAACTGACTTTTGAAGTGCTTTAAAAAATAGTAAATAAATTCTAAAAAATATAAAAATTTGGAAAAAGTTTATAAACATGATTATAAACATGTTGGGAAAAAAAATTTCAATTTGCATTTATCATTTGTAAAATCACTGTATTTTGCAAAAGCACTAAAATATATGTTTGTGTAAACATGTGATTTTTGATAGTTGACTCAATACAAGTTTGAAAACTTGTGAAATGTTTTTATGGACTTAATAAAATATGTTTATGATATATATATAGTCCAAAACATATTTATATATAATTTGCATAAAAACACCTATGTTTTGAGAAAAATCAAAAATATATGTGTGTGAAGAATTGAGCTTGAAGAATTGCACACAATATATATAAATCCTATACAAAGTATACCCAAGGAAGAATGAGAAGCTAGCTTGCTTGTATCTACCAAGGCTTTGACTACCACCACAGACCCCATAAAAGCTAATTTGAAGGTGGAGCTTGCACGAGCTTATGAAGAGAAGCTCTCTAAGCTAGAAGAGAGAATCTGTCGTCGCAAGCTGCTTATCCAAGCATAATAGGATTTTTTGCAAACCATCAGCCATCAACGGATTTGATAAGTTTTTACCGTCTACCGTTTGAGTCGGGCTAGCATGTAGTTTGTTTAAGTCCGTTCCACATGTAATGTTGTACTAAAAGAATGAATTCTTTTAGACTTAGTGCTACGATATTGAATACGTAGACTTCGTCTTTCTTTTAGTAATAGACTACCTGGCAACGTGTGTTAGACGTAGACTTATCTTTAATAAGGGATCGAGATAAAATCCCCTATGTGTGAGAGGTATGGATTCAGATGTTGAAGAGAGAGAAGGCATTTTCTTATTTCTTGCCTCAAAAAAGTTGCACCAAAGGGAAAGAATGTATTTTTTATCTTCTGCTTTGGTGTTGAAGGGAGAGAATGTATTTTCTTATCTCTCACTCTAGAAATGGTTAGGACTAAAGGAAAGAAGGTATTTTCTTATCTTCCGTTTTAGTGCTGAAGTGAAGGATAATATTTCCTTATCTTTCACTTCAAAAGAAACTCAGAGTAGGATCTCCACTCCGAGAATCTGGAAAGGGGAAACTAAGAGCGGGATCTCCACTCCGAGAATTAAATTTGATCTGGATAATCCTAAACTGTTGGAAGGTTTGATTACCCGATCTGAAGGTGGACCTCTCGTTTATCGAGAGGGGATTTTGACTTTGGCCTTAACTATCGGAAGGTTTGATCAAATGGGAGTTTGAGACAACTCTAACTGTCGGAAGGTTCTCGATTTGAGTGGACCTCTCGTTCATGGAATGAATCGAGAGGGAATTTTTGGTTTTGACCCTAATTGTTCAAAGATTTGACTAAATGGGGGAGGGGGGTTTTGGAATGACTCTAACTGTTCAAAGGTTTAATCATCCAATATGAGTGGACCTCTCGTTCATGGAAGTGTTTGGTGGGAAAATTGAAGAAGAAAATAGAGAATCGGATTTTTGTGT